TCATCATGAATATTCATCCACGTGAATGCATATTTGTGAACATTTTGCCTTATTTGTGTGTTCCAGTAAGTAATAGCTTGCATGCGTGTGTGTTTAAACGAGAGTGACTATAATAAGGGCTGTGGGTGTGTATACACACACATACACACGCACACAGTCGTTGATGAGGCGCACTGCCAAAATCAATAGAGTGCTTCTGAGGCATCATACTGTAGTACGAGAGGCCAGAGATCTGAATACATGCAGCTTGCATTAGAAAGATTGGCCTGGACACTGAGATGAAACAAAAAAAAATCCCTTCTTCTTCTTCTTCTTCAAAAGCTCTGTCATCTTTTTTAAACTCCTTTTTAGTATTTGCTTTACATTAAAACTCCCATTGCTTAAAAAAACAGCTTTGTAAATTAGTATAGATATGTTTTAATATGAATTACGATGCTTGATAAAAGTTCTGATGTTTATATAAACCACTGGTTTAATTCTTGCTGTTAATAAACCAATAGCTATGACTTTTGGCTCCATGAACTCATATTTTGCAGCTCACTGATAGTTTTTAAGGTAGTAGTTGGGTTAAGGTATTGGGTAGGATTCGGAATGTAGAGTAAGATCATGCAGAATATGTACTTTTTAATAATTGGTAGGTTATTATATTATTAAAAATGGAGATTAATTATTACTTGTAAGTCATGAAAATTATAGAATTACTTGTTTTGATTAAATCTGCTGTTTACACATTTTAAAATGTATAATAATTCATTATGTTTGGCATTTTTTAATATGAGAGGCAAAGTCAGAATTATATATTTTTTAAACTGGAGTTAAAAAGAAAAGAAATAATATCCTTTTATCCTTTTCTATCATAAAAAATTAAGTTTTTTTTTTTCACTGGAAAACGTAACAGTGAAAAACAGTAAATTTAGCGACACAGTGGCGCAGTAGGTAGAGCTGTCGCCTCACAACAAAAAGGTCGCTGGTTCGAGCCTCGGCTGGGTCAGTTGGCATATAAAAAAATATATGAGTAATTCAAACTAATTATATAAAGCAGAACTCAAACCGAATGAGTTATAAACAAATTAATTACAATTTTTGTGTTACTCTGCACTGCAAAACCCAAAAAGTTAAGGTAACTCAAATCATTTGAGGAAGCCGATAGCAACAAAGCATTTAAGTTCAAAAACTAACATTTTTACAGGTTTTACAGTGTAGCAAATAAGAATAATTTCACTTTTTAAAAACTGGAAATTTCACAAAATAATTTGGCTTCAACTGTATAAACTTAATTTATTAATAATTTTATTTAACTATAACACCGTAACAATAGATTTTGTGTGTGTGCAAACACATATGCATCCAATCTTGTGTTTTTATTATTATTGTTATCAGTTAAAGTTATTTAATGCACTAAAATAACAAATAGAATCTAATAAAAAAACTTACATACTAAAACTTTAAATTTAATGAAAGCAAAACACTAATTAAACCTACTAAAATGATAATTTTGTTAGTTTAATTAGTTGATTTAATTAGAAATTAATTGTTTAAAATGATGTATAAAACATGTTGCAATAGAATCTCTCTTTTAAATAGCACTTGGGAAATAGTTAATAGTAAATTGTAATTTAACACTTTAAAAAGTGAAAATTTCACAAAATAATTTTGACTTCAACTGATTAAACACTTAATTTAAAACTTAATTTATTTCAATATTTACAAAATAAATTTTTTATTTAACTATAAAACTTTAACAATAGATTTAATGTGTGTAAACACATATACATACAATATTGTGTTTTTATTATTGTTATCAAATAAAGTTATTTAATCATACTTCTATTAAAAATAACTTAAATACTAAAACTTTAATAGATTTTATGAACGCAATTAAACCTACTAAAATTATAATTTTGTTAAATTGGTTTAATTAGAAATTAGTTGTTAAAAAATGAAATACAATCTCTCTATTAAACAGCACTTGGGAAATAGAAGTAAAAATTATTTAAAATGTCACACTTTTTACAAAGCGATAATTTCACAAAATAATTTTGACTTCAACTTATCATTTTACAGCATCCAAGTTTTCTCATGAAAAATGCCTGACGGGTGAGAACCAACACGTTTACTTTTTACAGGAACCAATTCATTCTCACTTCATGCCAGCACCTACATACAGCACAAGTTTCCATAAGAACCAATGACATTACTCTTGTGAACCATGTCACATTTTAGCTTCTGCCAATAAAGTTAAGACCAACCAACCAACAATATCTTTAATGTTTAAAAAGAAATTTAAGAAAAGTCTCAATCCTCAAGTCTCATTTCTTAATAAATCTCAATACAAGCTCCAGGATTTCTCATCAATTCCTCCCAAACCGATAAATTATCTAATAATCAATAATACAATCAAAACAATCTCATTTTTCATGTCTAAACCCATCTACATACATCCTGTACCTCATTTACACTTATAAAAGAAAAAAAAATACATAAAATGTAAAAACAAAAAAAAAAATCTATGAGAAACTTTTGAGACAAAGGCGAGAACGAAACCCACTCAAGAAGTCCATTGAGTCTCCTGAGCTCTGAGTGAGCGATAAAACCCTTCCTCTGGGTAATTAGCATTCCTATGAAACATTTGTGATAGTCAGAGCCTCCGATTGAATTCATTCGCGGGTGCTGCGTTTGCATTTTGCACGAGGAGATGTGCTCATAATAAGGCGATCAAGGCTTTTTCTTATTACGCTCAACATCTAACATGATGACTTACACGCTTGTGGGGGAGGAAGAGAAAAAAAAATAAAGAACTGTGTGCGGCTGCGTGAGCCATTTTACTGAGCGAGAATATAAGAGAAAGGAAGTGGAACTCCAGCAAAGTGACTCCTGCTACATTCAACATCTATGATGTCATAATCACTCGCATCAAAGGCATTCTGTTCGCCACGGCAACTGTCATTCTCCCTGGAGGCGTCATTAAAACAGAGCACAGCAAACCAGCGAGCTGAGCAAGAGCTGACGGAGAAACTTCAAAACACACACACACACATACACATACACACTGCAACCAAACAACGGTGGCAAGTTTGTGCTTAATGCAAAGAGGAGTGACAGAGTATGTGTGTACACATACACGTGCCCGCAGATATTCATACGACACGCTGGCGTACACACACACACATGCTCAGAGACACTAAAAGACACTATAAATAGGACAGCTCTAATGTGGTGCTGTGTAGTTCTTGCCCTTGGGTACAAGGCTCTTCCAGAAAGAAAGAGAAAGAGAGAGATGAGGAGAGAAAGGAAGGAGGAGAATGAGAAGAGCAAGTAAACGAGATTGAAAGCATAGCCAAAAAAAAAAAAAAAAAGAAAAAGAAAAGAAGAGTTGGCACTATTTGAGGGCTCGCTTTTTGAGAAAGACAAAAAAAAAAAAAGTCAGGGTAAACCTGCATCTAAAAGAGGGAATGTATTACAGTTTCATTTAGGTTATATATATAGTTATAATTAAATGAAAATGAAAATAAAAAGCACTAATATATTTAATAAAAAATATACAAATACATTCAAAATAAACACATAAAAGGTAGATTAAATGAAATAAAAATTCAAAGCTAACAAAATAATGAATAGCATATATATATATATATATATATATATATAATTTAAATTTTTTATTTAGCTTGATGTACTAAAAAAATGAATAGCAAAATTTCGGGGTGCACAATATTGGAAAAATCTTGACATTGCAATATTTTGTTTTGCTGGGATGTATATTGCGAATTCAATATAATGATGATTTCATTAGGATTTTATTGGGAAAGATTTCATTCTTTTAGCTCGACTGGAGTGGTCAAGTCTTTTTACTAATGTATCTAAAATTCAAATAAAAAAAATACAAATAATAAATTTATATAGAAATACATTCTAACAAATAAAAGATGAAATGAAATGAAAATTCTAAACTAATTAATTAATTAGTAGCAAAAATTCGGGTGGCACGATATTGGTAAAGTCTGACATTTTATATTGTAAATATATTGTAAAATATAAATCTGTGATATATAGTGCCATATTAATATATTTATGATTTTAATAGCTCTAGTCGGAAAGATTTTTTTTTTTAAGATCAACTGATGATCAAGTCTTTTTTTTATGTGCAGTGCATCTGCATAAATTATAATAAATTGCAAGCAAAAATAGTTTTTTGGTTTTCTTAGGAGTCTAACAGTATTCAAGTAGAGTAATTGAAGCAATTGAACCTCGCAAAAAATGTAAACAAATTCAAAATACAAATCACAACTATAACCACAAAACTAGAACACTAGATTTTGTGTACAATCGACATACAATGTAGAGTTTTAAATACTATTATCATCATTATTATTATCAATTAAAGGTAATTAATAAAAATGAAAAATTTCACTACTTGAAATCCAATAAAAATTATTTCCTAAATACTAAAACTTAAAAATACTTATAAATATATAAACTATATACAATAATAATAAATGCTAAACAGTAATTAAAACTATTATGATTAAACTACTACAAATTCTATAAGTAACTATATCAAATAATAAAATAATAATTCTCAATTTAATAAATTTAATGCAAACTTGCAGAATAAAAGTATTAACAAACAAAGAAACATAAATATCTTACTGACCGCAATTAGCACGCATGCACAAACACACACTCTAGAGAAAAGGCAGAAAGAGATTGTTTGTGTCTGTTTTGTGGAAAAAATATACAGCTTCATTTCATTTTCTGGATACGAGGTCTCACAAACACACTCACACACACACTTATATTCACAATTCCTTCATTTGTTCTAACATAATTTGAGCTCTAAATGAATAAATACACAATTTAAAAGACAAACGCTATAATATCACAACAATATCAAGCATTATGATGTCAGCTACCCACTAATACTATTATTATCATGATGATATATGCGTGTTTTGTCAGACGGGTTTGTGTTTATGTGGTGTTTGATCATGGTGACTTACCCCAGGTAGCGTCTTCTGCTCGTGAAGCGCCGTCTGAGCTTTTAACGCAGATTCTCTCGCACAGTATGTGAGGAAGGCACAGCCTGCGAGAGCAAATAACAGAGACAGAGAGAAATTAAAGACAGGTCAAAGAGGTCGACACACAAGCAGATTGTCCATTCCCGAAGAGCTGGACAGCAGAGAGAAGCAGCGTTATTACATTTGTGTAGCAGAAACAGAGAAATAAAAGATAGACGAGAGATGAAACACAAGCCCACAGCCATACACACACACACACACACACACACACACACACACACACACACACACACACACACACACACAATCCCCAGAGAAAATACAGAGAGAGATTGTGTGTGTATGTGTGTGTGTGTGTGTGTGTTTATGGAAGGAAAATATGCAGCTCCATTTCATTTTCTGGATAAGAGGTCTTGCTGGTGTCAACATTTAACAGTGTGTGTTTGTGTTTGCTTGCTCATTAATTTGACAGAAAATAAGGATGTGCTGTTCAAGAAAATTTGGGCAAGAAAAATCGCTGATCGTTATTATTTTTGGGGGCAAATTACAGCATTCGTACTAACACTCTTGGAATTTTAAACTGATTTTGCAATCACGTTTGAAATTTTGTTTTAACACAGCTTGGCTTGAAATGACATGCTGAAGAGATTACTAGCTGAAAAATAGATAAAATGATGACAACAATACTAATATATACACACAAACAGTTCATTGGATGAAACAAAATATGTTTTTATATTGTAAAAATTCTAGGCTTCACACAACCAATTTGTGTTGGGACAACATAAAGGAATTAGGTTCACTTATTTAATTTATATATATATATATATATATATATATATATATATATGAAAAGTCCACAGCATGTATTTCTATATTTCATTCCTATATATTTTAAAATGACCTATTTACTATTTCCAAATTAACATTTTGGCAAACATTAGTCATGTACCTAATATTAAGTCATACTATCATACTTATCATATTATCAACAATTTTGTTTAGCTAGTAGCCAAGAAAGTTTGTCTCATGTTCATTTATTTTTATATCATGTAGTAAAAACTAAACTAAATCTAAAATAAAATAAATAAATAATTATTAGCAGCATTTGTAAACATTTGACAAGGATCAAAACCTTTCAGAAAAGTTGTCCTTAAAGCAAAACGTGTATTAAACAATACTGATATTGATATATAAGAATAACATAAACCATAAATATTTATAAAATTAAAAGACAAGAAAGTTTATCTCATGCTCATTTATTTTAACCTCATGTAGCAAAATTAACAAACTAAATCTATAATAAAATAAATAAATAATTTTATATTAGGATTTGTCAACATTCGCAGTGGATCAAAACCTTTCAGAAAAGTTGTCCTCAAAGCAAAATGTGTATTGAACAATACTAATAAATAACAATTACATAGACTACAAATATTTATAAATGTAGTAGCCAAGAACGTTTGTCTCATGCTTATTCATTTTAACTTCATGTGGTAAAAAAAACTAAAATAAATAATTATTCATCAGCTTTTGTCAACATTTGATGAGAATCAAAATCTTTCAGAAAAGTTGTCCTCAAAGCAAAATGTGTATTGAACAATACTAATATAACAACAACATAGACTATAAATATCTATAAAATTAGGAGCCAAGAACATTCGTCCTATGCTTATTTTTGTTTTACCTCGTAATAAAATTACTGACTAAATGTAAGATAAAGATAAAAATAAAATAAATAAATATTTATTTATTAGCATTTGTCCATATTCAAAGTGGATCAAAAGTTTTTAAAAAAGTTATCCTAAAATCAAAATATATATTGAACACTGTAGTTTTTTATTTATTTATTAAACTATAGAATTTCATTTAAAACATATTTCGTATTTCAGTGATATTAAAATAACACTGATGAGCAGAATTGATCTGTGGTGGTGGATGAGAAGATTCCCTCTTTGTGTTAAGTGCTTTGAGTGCCCAGAAAAGTGCTATATAAATGTAAGGAATGTTTATTATTATTATTAATTGTATACAGACCACACAGATCACAGACTTGCAGACAATGCAACATCTTCTTGGCCTCTTGTACTTGTTCCTTCAGTTCTTTGTTTATTCTTATATTTTTGGAATTGTTGTGTATTGCTGTATTAACATACTGACATCCCTACCGATACAGCTACTGATATTCTGTGCCTCTTAAAAAACAATATGCACGATATTATACCAACTGTGAAAACCTGACAGAGACGCCAGCGGGAGAGAATGTACAAAATGTGCCGCATGATGAATGGATAAGCCAAACAACAACGCAACAGGAAGTTATGAAGGAGATCTGAAAGCAGAAAACACCAGATAGCACGAAAGTTCATCCAAGCACGTCTTGAAGTGATAGGATCTTTTTTTTCTGGCGCTTTCATGGCCTGCTGCAACACACACGCGGCTGTCTTTAAGTTCAGTCTGACAAGACGACATCAGCCCTCGCCAACCAACATCACTGTGCATTTGTGCTAGCGAATAATGCTAATCTCAGAAAGTAGCTTGCTGAAAACAACCCTGAATCTTTTTTAGCATCAACTTAATCAAAAATCCCACTGGGATAAGAAGCCAATGGAATAACCGCCGAACAAAAGCCGAAACGATTAGCGTTGCATTTGTACATGAAGTAAGCAAATTTGAATATGCAAAGGCATGTTAATGGATGCTAATGTTTATGCTAATCTTGCATTAATATTAAAAAAATGCTAATATATTAATATGCTGAGTAAACATGATAATCTGCCGCTGACATTTCCGCCTGCATGCTAATAGTGTCACAAACGGCGATAAGATGGAAAAAGCTGATTGCCGACCAAAAATGGAAAATTAAAACGTTCATTTACTTTCAAACAGGCCCTTGTTGCGGCGGCGAGATGCTAATCTTTTCTTTTTAACTGCCACGAAATATATAAATAAATACAAATAAAATCATTTTGTTGATGAGGGAAAATCAACCCTTAACAAAAAATGACCATGTTAACCCTCAGCTTGTGGAGTTTTTAATAAAAACAACCATAAAATCATGAATAATTGATGAGCTTTTGGCAACACTTTACAATGAAGTTTATTTTCTCAACATTAATTAGCCATATTAGTTGGTTAACTGTCAACGAATATTACTTGTACAGCTTTTATTAAACTTTCATTAACATTTGCTAACAATATTTTAAACGGGTGGTCCGCAGTGTATTTTTAAGGCTTGGTTGTGTTTATAAGATGCAAAGCAATGTGTGCTCATACTTCACTTGTAGAAAATCACGTTGTTTGTTCATATATCTTAGTTAGATTATAACATGAAAATGACTGTCATATTTCCTAGTTTCTCTGAAAGGCCCTCAAGAGGCTCAGATTGGTCAGCTAACATAATGTGTTGTGATTTGTGAATCGTCTCCACTTCACCATGTCACGCTTCTACAAGCACAAGCTTTTGTGCAGTGTAAACAGTCAGTCAGAGAAGCTGTTAGCAGTGTTACCTTCCAGAATCAAACAGAAAAGGAAAAGGACACAGCGGAACCTTTCTTTCCTGTCTTTCACATATATTCAAAATAAGCATGTGTAAGTAATATGAAATGTTCACATATCTTTTGAGAGTTGTTATTTAGGATGTAGAAAGCAGGAAAGGTGTCCACATAGAGAGACGCTGCAGCTCTGGTGAAGATTGTGCACGTTTACAGTGATTTGACTGATAAATATGAATTTGTAGCTTAATTGTTAGTGGTGCCAAACAGCATTTGCTGTTGTTTACATCTTTGTTATCGTCCTCGCTACAAGGTACCATTAGCACTAGAAACAGTGAATGTAACTGATCAATTTTAACAAATAAAAACACTTACAGGTTGTGGCTCACAATCCACAGCTTGGTCTGTTGGATAAGTTTTAACCGAGTCCATCACTGAACTGGAACAGATTCTGGAAGCTGCCTTTTGTCAAATGCTGGCTATATATTTTTATAATTCTCTGGAACATAATTAAAATTGAACTGTAAGCACTTCTCTCTTTGTCATGTCCTTTGGAAGCCGAAATAGAGAAACAGAAAAAGCTCTGTGGAAATAGCAGCGTATGGACAGCAATAAACAAACAATAGCTTAACATTACAAAAGATAATTTGTTGTTGGTCTCAGTTTAAAAAAATCTGACTGACTGAAAAAAAGCCTCTAAAAATCAATTGATCATTTTATTTCTGAACCTTCAGAGTCACCTCTTCCCAAAGTGCATTGATAGATTTAAACTTAAATGTATTTCATGTTAACAGTTGAGACTTTACAGTAAAGTGTCACCAATATTACCATACTTTAATGCGTTTACTAACAAGAACAAATAATGTACTTTGAAAAAATAATTTTTAATACAGCATCATTCATTCATTGTTAAATGTTTTTCTTTTAACACATGTGAATAATTTTCATTCTTTGTTTTTATTTTACTTATACTTGTATTTTAGGTTTTATTCCTGTTTATGTTAAGCACTTTGAATTACTATTGTGTATGAACTGTGCTACAATGGGTAACACTTCAAAAGGACTGTTACTGCCGCCGCGGCACTAAGGGATTAAGAATGTGTTTTTAGGTATAAACGCAGTTTGCGACTATGGGACGGGATGCGAACGGACAGAATTATACAGTAGCTGCAAATACCCTGCTACGAAATAATGTACAAAGCATGATAATTCCTTCATTAATCATTACAATCTTGTTAACGAGCTTTATTATCATTGTAAACTTGTTAAGTGCAATGAGGATTCATTTTGGAAAGTAAAGTTAAAGAAATAAGAGATACATAAAATGAAAGTACAACCATCCAAGCGTACATACGCAAATAAATAAATTAATTAAGCAGTGTTTTAACCAAAATTTAGAGAGAGCAGTGTTTGGTATTTTAAAGTGATTGGACTAATACAGTAAATAAATAAGCTTTTTTCATTTAAGTTTTCTTTGTTGATTATATTTTCCTTTCCCATTTATGTCTGAATGGCTGAAAAGGAAGTGCAGATCCAAACGCAGGTTTAATCAACATAGAATGGTCAGGCAA